CATGGTTTGCATTTTCCATCATCTGCGAAATAGCCGAAAGGACAATCTAATTTGCAAGTGATATCTGGGTTACAAAAAGAACCTGAAGGACATTATGACTATTCTAAACAATTAGAATTAAAGACTACTCCGGAGCATTATATAGAAAAATCAATACCTCCATATCCGGTTTTGCAGATACATTGACCGTTCACACAGACTCCGTTTGAATAACAGTAATTCGGACATAAAGGAGTATAATTACAAAATCTATTATAATCTAAAGGACATATTAATTAACCACTAGCTTTTTACAGAGTTTAATTAATGACTTTTGATTTCCCTTATTCTCCTTATCACATATAATTTCATGATTAATGATGGGAAATTTGATTGTTATTTGAGATGCATCTGAAAAACATTTGAATTAATGTCATCTTAATTAAATGTTATAATTATAAAGAGATTTAATATCTGTAGCTGAAGATTAGAAGCATTTACTTTCAGTGGAATAATAAGATAATTTTTCTTATTCTTTTTCTATTAGATCACGATCCTTTAACAAAAAAGGATTCGTACAGAGATGATATTAAAAAGGTTTTCTATAGTACATCCGTCCGCATATACGTCAAATTCAGGTACACCTAGTCCTTCATATTCAAATGAGCACTAATAAACATTGTTAGAATTATAATAAAATTCAGGGTAATATGTTTTACTATAACAAGAATATTCAAAAAATTGACAACCTTTTCCTTTTCCCCAATATATATAGTCAGCCATATTATCATTAACTTCAGGGTAAAATCATGTATCTTTCAAAACAGCAATAGTAAATATAAAAAAAACTCTATTAACAGATACTTAAGCAGCAGTCATAATTTCATTATAAATAATGGTTCTTTCCCAATGAGCGCCAAGAGTTCCATTACCAAACTAATATAAATTATAAATGTAATAAAATAATAAAAATATTTATATATTTATATATTTATATATTTATATATTTATATATTTATATAAATATATAAAATTATATATAAATATTACTTTCTATATATATATTTTTTTTTAATTTACATAATTTTCAATTTACATACTTTCAACTGTTTTACAAATATAATATTTTTTTGTAACTTCTACTACATTTTTTGACGTTAAAAGTGCAGTTATTATATTTCTGTATGTTTTTATCTTTTATAATTTTTGTATATATGTATTTTTAAATATTTTTTTAATTATATGATCTATCTAAAAAAACAAACAATTTTTTGAAAAACCGACTACATGTAAAATTTCATGTATAGTCGATTCTAAATCGATTTGATTAGTTAATGGATTTTCTTCTCTTTAAAACATATTTAATATGTTAAAATTTACTTCTCCAAAAGTAGGTCTAGCGATTTCTCCATCTGCTAACGCAAAAAAAAAATGGCTTCAGCAATTTATATTATCATCTTTACTATAAATTACGTGTAAGTGTAAATCCGAATCGGGAATTCCTATATTTTTATAATATCTAGGAATTTTAGTACCTAAACAGTCTTCTGGCCATTTTGAAGAATAAATGTTATTTCCTTTTATCGGGTAAACTTTCAAAAGTTTTTAGAAAAAAAGTTTGGATGTTTCTATAATTTTTATTAAGTATTCTTTTTATTATTGTGTTATTCCTAAGTTTATATTTTCCATAAGAGAATAGTCTACTACAGTTATGCAGTTATTCTTATAGGCTTTGCTTCATCACCTGTTTAAAGTATACGTTA